ATTTTACGCACGAAAAATTATTAATTCACTCTTGCGCCACCTACCTACTTCTATCTGTTCTCCTTTAATCAAAGGTTGTCTGTAAGAGATTGCCCTAGCGATAAGACCGCCTTTTGTAACTTTATTTATATATTTTAATCTGTATTTCACTTGAATTATTTACTTGTCATTGTACATTTTTGTTTATGGTGCAATAAAGAGTTAAATAAATAAATAAGTCTTCTTAGATAAAAAAAGACATAATCTGTTTACAACTGAGAGAGTTATGAGGTAACAAACATAAAAAAATATATAATCGAATTGAGAACCCTTCTCTTTGAAGTCGGTTGATAAAAGTAATTTATAATTACGACTAAAAAACATATTATATTTCATTTCATTAACCGTTTTATAAAAATAAATGGTATATTGAAACTTGGAAGCAGATTCAAAAGATCCGAAATTTAATATTTTTCACCGTAAAAGCGATATGATTTATATACAGCTTAACTTTATTATATTCATATAATGAAATTTTAATTAGACGATTTCTGTACATAAGAGTTATTTAAGGAAAATTTATATGAGAGATCTTAATAAAACCAATCGGTTGGCAAAATAATAATTTTTAGAAATTTTGTCTGTCTCTCTGTTTGTATGCTTTCCTATTATATATATATATATATATATATATATATATATATATATATATATATATATATAATATATATACACCTATCCCCTGATTTACAAGGTACTTGTTTTACACGTTTTCGCTTTTACACGGTTTTCCAAATAAGTTTTTTTTTTATCGCACTCTACTAAATGCTATTGTGTTTGAACACGTGCGCTGTGTACACATCTCACGGGGAATCCCGAGTTTATGTGCTGACTTGCTGCACATGCACACTGTGTCTGTATTTCTTCGCATAAAATTAAAGTTTTATCTACGGAAAATTGTATTTGAGTGAAAGTTTCACAGTGTCAGAAAGATTTAATTTTTCATATTCGTAAATTACAAGTGAGTGCATAATTATGATTTTTATAAATTAACATAAATAAAAAAAAAATATAGGCTTATAATGTCGAAAGAAGTTAAAAGAAAAGTTATTACTTTAGAAACTAAAATCGAAATTTTGGATCGCTTACGAAAGGGAGATAGAGTAGTAGATGTTGCAAAATCATATAACATGAACGAAGCTACAATAAGAACTATTAGAACAAATGAAAATTTTTATTTTTATTTCTGTGTACACCTAAAAATATTGAAAAAAATCACAACTGTTAAATAGCAAAATTATGCATTTTCTGCAAGCTTTTCGATTTACACGGTTTTGACTTGAAAATTTTAAATTTTCGATTTACACGTTTTTCTCAGGAACGTATCTACCGTGTAAATCGGGCGATAGGTGTATATATATATTGAGAAAAAAGAAACAGTGAATAAATTGTTAGCAAGGGTGGAAAGCGATCTCTCCTAGCCAACCCAATGCAATGAGAGAGAAATTAAAAAAACAAGTATTAAAAAAAAATTAAATACCTTCTTAGTATTTAAAAAAAAATTCTAGAAGCGGCATATTTCATTGATTTTCTTACTTCTAAAATTAATACCTATAAAACAGCAGATAAAAAGATACTGAAATTATAAATATTTTCTATAACCAACAGAAAATAGCAGTCCAAGGGAAAGCTACATCAACAAATTCCATGCAGCGCATTGGCCCATTTGAGTGTACCGTCGAAACCTTTTGTAAGCGCAATTCGAAAGGTTTACGTTCAGCGAAACTTTCTTGTTCTAAAATAGCATTACGTCAAATTGGCCGCCGATCGTCTTTAACCCTCTTAAGGAAGTGACTGTGATTTTAAACGGTAACACGCAAACCCTTCTTACAGTCTTATTGGTCGTGGGAAGGAGTTAACTTCGAGTCATTGATAAATAAATAAATAGGGCAGAGAATGGACGTGACGTGACGTAGCAAGAAAGCTGTGAAGGCCATAAATTGCTAGCTTTCTAAAACTTTTATAAGCTAAAATAAATAAGTGTTAATATTCTCATAAAACAATTTAGATGCACAACTTTTTTTTATAAGTAAACTAGATGTACCTCGCGTATTCGTACATGGTCTTGTCACGATAATCTTTTTCAAGAAATTTGATTTGAATTATTTGTTTTGTATTTAATGCGTTAAAAACTAGCGCCTACTAGTTTTGCAATAATAAAATATTTTTAATATATTTTCTTTAATATAAGCGTATTGTGAAAATGTATTTAATGATACAAAATTCCTGTAACAAAATTAAAGTGTATACTACCTTAATGTCTTAGTCAAGTGTATAAAAAAATAAAATAAAACAAGTGTGCTGTCACATGCAAAAATAATTCTTAAAATCCAGTGAGTAGTCCCCGAGATTAGCGCGTTCAAACAAACACATACATTATTATATTATATTATGCATTATTATATTGGTATAGTCATGGGTTCCCAAACTTATTTTGTCTACTGCCCACTTTGAGAATAAATTATTTTTTAGCGCCCCCATTTTTTCACCTACTTAAAAACCACTACTACTTCAAGATCAACAAATCCCTCTGTCCCATTCGTGTTTCAACCGTGAAGCAGTTGTGTTTGCATGGCTGTGTTTCGATTTGAAGGGTGGGATATGGCGTGAATTTACTGGGTACAGAGGAATAACACCTGAGTCCTCAGGAATGGCAACGCATGGGGGGTAACATGGGTGAAACAGTATACTCTGTTATGTCCATTGTACTGCTCATGTCTGTATGCTACGGTTACCACTTTCCATCAGGTGGGCCGTCAGCTTGTTTGCCATTCTAAGTTGTATAAAAAAAAATTACCCAACAAGCCTCTACACAACGCCCCCATTTTTTCTGGGTTTCTAAACGACCCCCTTTAGGCCTGCAACGTCCACAAGGGGTCGTTATCGTCCACTTTGGGAAAGGCTGATAGATAATATAGCGATTAAACAATTTAGATACAAAATCAATTTACGTTTTACGGTTACGATAGTGTTTATATACCTGAAGTAGATAGAAGCCTTTTAAAAAAAAATACGTTATAGCGAGATATATTGTTAGTAAACAACAACAAAAAATGTATAATTCCCCAGCTAACAATCCCAAGGAAAATATCGGTGCCGGATCGAGAGATGAGGGTAAACTTAAGGATCAAGTTGCTGTGGTGTAGGCATAACAATATTTCATTCATGTTTTGGAAAATGTGATAATATTGTTAATATTGTTAGTCATGTTTACCACAATGGCAATGGTTAATAAATATTTTTTTATTCAAGTAAACTTTTATAATAAATATTTTTGAATAGGCATTCTTTTTTAACCTACCGCTCAGTTCGGAATGCAATTTCAGCTGAGAAGAACGGGCAAGAAACACAGATGTTGCATTTTTTCAAATATAACTTAACTTTACGACAAAGAAAAATTTGAATGGATATTATATATATATATATATATATATATATATATATATATATATATATATATATATAAATTAATAGATATAATTAATATTTTTTTTTCTTTTATTTTTTTAATGTATTTATAATGAAAAAGAAAATAAAAAGATACGAATTACTCATATACTATATGAATATATTTATAAATAAACTTCTTTGAATTTACTGAAAATCCTTTTGAATGTCCCATTTGAAATAATACGAATAACCATGGGACGTTTAAATTATTTTTTATAAGGTTCTGTTACATAAAAAAAAAACTATATCAGTTGTGATAAAACCAGTTGTTTAGACTTCAAAGCTGAACTAATTTCTATACAGTCGATCCATAAGTATCTTTCGGACAAAAGAAAAGATTTTTCCAGATTAATTTATAACCGACGAAATTATGAGGTAATAAATATAAAAAAAAACAATAACAACCGAATTGAGAGCTTCTTTTTCAAGTCGATTGAAAAGTTTATCAAAATCGGTTCAATAATTTAGTTTTTTGAAAATTGAATTTGAATTTTGTGGAACCCAGTTTATTATTATTATTATTTTTTATACAACTTAGAATGGCAAACAAGCTGACGGCCCACCTGATGGAAAGTGGTAACCGACGCCTATAGACATGAGCAGAACCATGAACATAACAGAGTATACTGCTTCGCCCATGATACCGCCCATGCGTTGCCATTCCTGAGGACTCTGGTGTTATTCATCTGTACCATGTAAATTCACTGCCATATCCCACCCTTCAAACCGAAACACAGCCATGCAAACACAATTGTTTCACGGTTGAAACACGAGTGGGACAGAGGTAGTTAAGCAAACGACTTTTGTACAAAGTCTCCCTCTGGTCTGGTATTATGTACCACATTTTATTAGTAAATAAAATTTAAATATATAAATATTTTGAATTTTATATACATATTATGGAACAGAATAATATTTTCCCCTACTTCTTCACTATTTCTTAAAAACTCGAAATGTCCGTCACGTTCCGATATCGGCTGAGCATACATAAAACCAATCTTGCTGCCCGTCCGTCCATCAAGTTTATGGGGATACGGCATGCATAAAAGATGCTGTACTGTGGTTTTTTTAACTTCATACACGCCATAACCTTATTAGTTGCACAATTATAAAAAAAATGATAGTGCAAACATTATGCGTAATATTTGATATAGTTTTTGTAAAAAGTTTGAATCAATTTTGTTAGTCCTTTATAGACTTTTTTTTTATATATTTTTTATATTATATATATTTTAAGAACGACGCTGCTGCCCATTCTTCGACCATTAATTTCCCTTAGTTGCTTCTTACAACACTTATGAAAAATAAAGGGGTGGCCTTTTCTGTACTGGGACCATGCAGCGATATTACATATACATAGTACATATTAGTTTAATTATGTATTATTTATAACGTATTAATAAATAATACATTATATATATATATATATATATATATATATATATATATATATATATGCCCATACGAGTTGTGACTATAAAGTTAATTTACGAAAAAAATAAATAACTTACCAGGCGAAAATTGTACTGAAACCATTGCGGATGCATCCGGCAGGAATGTCTCAAAAATTTCTGCCGAAACAAAAATTATTTACATGCAAACATAATCCAAAATGAAGCTGCTAAATCTAAAACTTTGGGATCTAATGATTAAAAATATTATATAAAAAAAAATATGTCTACTATACGTAATATTAATTAAAATGTACTTTAAATAATTTGTCTTCGTAATGAAGTGTCCGCTACGTATGAATGATAGAAAAACAATTAAAATATGCCATGCCATTATTGTTCTAAAAAATAATAACAACAATATTGCCACAACAAATAGAATATAATTAACTAAACACTTAAAATATAAAAAAAAAAATAGGTAAATAATCTACAAGAACTTAGAAAATAATATTTTTTGAAAAAAAATGAAAAATAAGATTTAATTATAAGAATTAGACTTTTAAGAGAATAAGATTACAAGGATTGAAAATTACATGTTGTTCATTTTTCGAAAACTTTATTCATTTTTTTTTTTCATAGGAAAAATTAAATTTACAAAAAAAAGTTACAAAAATATATACACTGTTATGTTCATGGTATTGCTCATGTCTATAGGCGACGGTTACCACTTTCCATCAGGTGGGCCGTCAGCTTATTTACCATTCTAAGTTGTATAAAAAAAAATTTTCCGTAACAAAAAGAAAAAAATCTAAAAAGATAAAACGGCATTGGATGATTAAAAATGAAAAGAAAAACTAATATCATTATATTTTTTGTCCCAGTCTATATATAAAAACTATATAAAAATATTTATATGTGTGGTATGTATCCGTATAACATATAATAGTTTCCCTTTGGGTATTCCAAGTAGATTCTTACACATAACGCTTTGAATTTATATAATTTTATTATCCATCTATAACTGAAACTTCTTAATCTACAGGGAGCTTCGTTAGTTAGTGTACATTGACGCTTATCTGTGAGAGCTGTATACACCTTTAATTGATGTGTTCATATGGCCTTAAGCTTGGTAGTGAGGAGTAAGATTTTTTGTTCTTACTTAGATTTAAGCATTTTGTAATAGTAGTTTTTCTCTTTTACTTACTAATAACTTTGTATATTGTCTGCATAATTATTGTGAGCATATTGTTGGTGTGTCTTTTATAAATAAATAAATAAATATCTATCCATGTATTACTTTTAACCCATAACCCTATTCTTAAGGGCTCTACCTTAATAAGCCATCGGTAACTCTCTGATCAATCAACTGTAAACTCAAAGGAATATTTCTAAACAAGACAAGTACTCGCTTTAGATTAACTTTATAAATTTACTCCCTTATCTATCTATCTATCCTATTTAAGAGCTGCGCTCTTGTCGGTGGTGCTCTTGCCACTCACTACGATTTTTAGCGAGTCTCTTCACTTCTTGACGCGACACGACACCAACTCCTTCCTTGACTTTTTTTTATACAACATAGAATGGCAAACAAGCTGACGGCCCACCTAATGAAAAGTGGTAACAGTCGCCTATAGACATGAGCAGTACCATGGACATAACAGAGTATACTGTTTCGCTCATGATACCCCCCATGCGTTGCCATTCCTGAAGACTCAGGTGTTATTCCTCTGTACCCTGTAAATTCTGTAAATAAATGTGTATTCCATGCCAAATTTTTACGTCAACAAATCATCATAACGTCTACCCTTTAATATAACTATTTACTCATATTGTGTATCTACTGTAAAATAACTATTTCATGCTCAAGCATATATACAACTTTGTTTATACCACTACGACAGAGTAATAAGTTTTACATTACACGCCGAAGTACTCGCCATAAGAATAAATATACTGGGTAGAAGGGGCCCTGCTTAGTGAATAAGACGTTCTCACCAAAATGTACCACTTTCCCCTTCAGATCCCACGTAGGGATCACAAAGATCAAAATTTTATTTGCATTTAACAAATAATTTTACGATATTACGGGCACAGATAATAATAATAAATGCAACACATGCGCGAGTGAGCGAGAACGCACGCTCCCACTGCAATGTAACAGACCTTTCCAGCCCTGACTTAATAGAACGCGAATTGGACGCGAGCCGTCAGCGCGCAAACGTAACTATTACTAAATTCATTGGAGTGTCCGTTCTACCCAAATTAGTCATGGGTAACATCAGGTGGTCTCCCATGAAATGAAATTCCGAAATTTCGGGCTCTTTTTCGTGTTTTTGTTCGTACTAAAATCGAGTCAGTAAATAGAGCTTAACATTTCGTTCATCACAAATCCTATCCTAATAGTCCAGAGGAACGATATTTTAACATTGTTAATAATTTTAAACGGCATGTATCATGTAATTTTAATATTAAATTTCTGTTTCGTTCGTCCCCGAAATTTCGGAAATCATTTCATGGTAGACCTACAGTACCGTACTATACCGATAACTATATTTTGGATACTTCTAGAATCATTAATGGCGAAAAATGTCGTTACTAATTTCGATATCGCCCATTCCAGTTAAATATCTATATCCATTTGACCAGATTCTTAAAATGTATATCGTATAACCGGCATTTAATATACCCGTTATTGGACTATAAATAAAGATATTGCAACCACAATATACATTATATTACCCACTCTTAACCTGAATATTTATTCTTGTGCTACTCCGAGTATATTAAAATTATTGTTTTCTTTTTATTTTTATAATTTAATAAAATTTGACACCAAAAAAAAAAACAATAAACAAACTTATATATAAAAATTAATTAACTAACAATTAGTTTAAACTAACTAATAAACATACCTACTAGAAATAATACTGTAATGATGCAAGAAGTTACAGGCTTTATTATTGTTACCAAGAAAATGCTAACATTCTTAAATAATACAAATTTATTGCTTACCCCCAAGTAACTCCGGTTCACCAAGGTTCACGTAAAACAGTACGTCTTTCTCGTAACTATCCTCTTCTATGATGTGAAGAGGTATGAACTTTCTGCAAGAAAAGAAATAAAATATTAACAAATATTGTTTCACTAACATAATAATATTATAAATAAACAATATCTGTACATGGAAGATATTTAAGAAAAAAATATATAAGGGCTCTTATTAAGAGCAATAAAACTCTAAACAATTTTTTGTTTTTAATTTTCTTAAACCACTCTTCGGAATTAACTTTCAGCAGCAGTATTTCCAAACCGATACGACATCATAATCTTCAAGAAAAGTGCATATTCCTTTTTAAAAAGGCAGCACACCTGCAATGCCACTGGTGTTGCGTGTGATCATGGGCGGCGGTAGTCACTTACCATGAGATGTTATAAAAAAAACTGTTTATTCAATAAATTTTGGGTTTCCACGACAAGTAATAAATTTAAATTCAATATCAGACAACAATATCTGCTTTACACATCATCGCCGCTTTTCGTTCACTATATATCATACGAAAAGTGTTTTCTTATAACGAAATAGATTCACCTCCGAAGATTATGTACAATAAATCACGCAGACGCGCCAAACCTCTTGAATTATAGCTGTCCTTGTTGTCCTATTAATTCAGTTGAAGCGACACATTTAATAAGCTACCGCGGTAATGTTATTAAATAATTTGTGCTAAGGTTCCGTATATAATTTATTTATTTTACCTTATATATATATATATATATATATATATATATATATATATATATATATATATATATATATATATATATATATATATATATATATATATATATATATATATATATATATATATATATATTATATAATTATATATATACATATATACTTAATTTTAATGAGAAGTGATACAAAAGGCGGCCTTATCGCTAGGCAATTTAATGCTTGGAAAGAAAGTCAACGAAAAAATTGACAAACGCTTTTAACTATCCTATCTGGAATTGTGTAGTGAGCATATTTTTCTTATTTTTTAATAAATTTTTAATTACGATAAGTATAAATAGATAAATACTCAATAGACATAGATATCACGCAGCGCCATCTAGTCGCTAATGTCTCACGGAAAACATAAGAAAGCTTTATTTTAATTAACGAGTGAAAATGAAATAGTAACCCCACCTGCGTTATCAGTATACACCAGTGGAGTATCAGTAAGGAATAATAGATAAGAATGATGCAAGCCTTAATAGATGATAAAGGAATGGTAGCCTCGCCTGCGCTAACGGTATACACGGGCGGGGCACCAGTGAAGAACAGTAGGTAAGGATAAAAGTGTGATAAATTCTTCTGGAATTAAACATAATGGTTTCCAAGGGAGGTCGACCTAACAGGGTATATTGCTAAAAATATGGTTGATGATGGGATGATGTAGGTCAGTTAGTCCATTGTGACTAATTCAACAATAATTAACCACGGGCTACAATGGTGTTCATGTGGAACCCCTGTGGTTCATCGATCATGTCGACCTGATAGGGTATATTCCTAGCAGTGGGGGGAAGGGATTGTTAGCAATGGAGTTTGACAGCCCCATTGCTAGCAATATCAGGTCAACCTCCGCGTGGTTCCCCCTGGAAACCATCGCGAACACTTCTCGTTGAATTCGTTACGATGGGCTAGCTGACCTGTTTCATCCTCATCTATCATCCTTCACTGGTGCCCCGCTGGTGTATACCAATAGCGCGGGTGGGTTACTATTTCATTATCACCTATAAAAAAAATCCTAGCAGTGGAGCAATTTGACCCCATTACTAATAACTTTTTCCACTTAGAACAAAAAAAGTTTAGGAAAATGTGTCTCTTTGAAAAAAGAAATATTCTCTCTGTAACTGTTCTTTATTTAAAAATAGCTAACCTTTTAATGTTTAATTATAAATAACATCAAGAGCACAATGGTGTGTAGGCAGAATGCAATCTATTTTATTCTCGTGGACGTGTCTATTGTTGTCTTATCTATAAAAGAGTGTTGTCTAATGGTTTTTGTGACGATACAAAGCGTATGGACAAAAGAAGGACCGACCTCCGGAATTTTTTCAATGTCACGTTTTCCTCCACACGAGTGCTACCATGAAAGTTTTCGAAATCTCGAACGAACGAACGAATCTCGAAGTCGAACAAAACGTGAATTTGATCTGATTTTCTTTTACCAGTGGGAGATTTTGTACAAAAGTCGCGTGCTTGGCTACGTCTGTCCCATGCGTGTCTGCCGTTAACCTGTTGTATTTTCATAGCTGTTTCGGTTTTAAAAGTGGGATATGGCAGTAAAATTAGAGGGGACAGAGGCAAACACCTTAGTCCTCAGGAATAACACGTGAAGGGTCTCATAGGCGTCACAATATACTCTGTTATGTCTGTAGTACTGTTCATGTCTATATGCTACGGTTTTATTTTTATTGGATGAAAATGGAATGATATCCCCGCCTGCGCCAACGGGATACGCTGGCGGGGCTTCAGTGAAGGGTGATTGATGAGGATGAAAACAGGCCAGTTAGTCCTTCATGATGAACTCATCAGGAATTAATAATGATAGTTTCCAGGGGGAACAGCGAGGAGGTCGACCTGGTTGGGTATATTGCTAGCAATAGGATTCTTAGTCTCCATTACTAACAATCCCTTTCCCCTCTATATGCTACGGTTACTGTGACGTTGCCCGTCAACTTGTTTTTACCATTTTATATTACAAACAGCATACTCTGTTATGTCCACTGTGGACATAACAGAGTATACTGTTTCACCCATGATACCCCCATGCGTTGCCATTCTTAAGGACTCAGGTGTTATTCCTCTGTACCCTGCAAATTCACTGCCATTGCCCACCCTTCAAACTGAAACACACAGCAAACACAACTGCTTCACTGTAGAAACACAAATGGGGTAGAGGTGCCCAAGCAAAAGACTTTTGTACAAAATCTCTCTCCCTTTCTCTTTATAATATTATTCTAGATACAGATCAAGTCGAGAAGCTGATCTGTCAGTGTAATATAATTGTATAAATTTGCATACAATATTATAAGGGTTTTTCGTTTTAACATACAGTACCCTAAAGATGCAGTCAACAAACAAGTTTATCGCCTGTGAAGAAAAAAATAGCTGAGTTCAGCGAATATTTATAGTGTCCCACATAAGCGACCGAGCGATACGATCAACTAAATTGACATAAAAACTGCTATTTCACGTAAATTTGAGGTGTCTATTAAAAAGTTACTTCTCGGTATCATTCCTGGAAAGTTATAATACTACAAGGATCAGGAAAAATCTTTGAATTTAATTTTAAACGTGCTACAATAGATTTTTAGTAAAATTATACTACTGTATCGCCACCAGAGGGGCACTATAAAAATCGTAATCGTAAGCTATCCCACTCGTATTTTAACTGCAGTGTTGCCAGATAGGGTATTTCTTCCACAATCATAGCTAAAAAAATTCTATTAGCGAAAATTTTTAAATGTGGGTATTTTTTTTTTGAGAATTCGTATTTCTATTTATAAATCGTATAGCGATTTTAAAAGCGATATACAATGAAATATATTAATAAAGGTAGCAAAACAGAGAGAGAAGTAAGAAGTCAAGCATATATGACGGCACCCTTCTTTCGTCATTTACTTTGCGGTTACATGACAAATTATAGCGATACACGTATTGTATGAGACGAAGAAAGGCTTAGGCTACTTTTCATCCTGACCAGTGAACCTATCCCGGTCACGCGAACGAAGTCGCGGGTAAAAGCTAGCTAATAATAAATTCAGATTACACTTTACCTGCGTCTAATTGATTGAGAAACAAAACTCCTTAATAGATAAATAGATAATTTATTTGCATTACTTACAGCACACAAATTATAACAAATACAGATATACATAAAAAGCGAGATAAGAGAAATGATAAAAAAAAAATACATAAAAGCAAGTAAAATTTTTCTGTTTGTGCGTGTGCCATAACAATACAAAATGGTCACAACTCAGTTTATTGCTTCGCCCTCAAAAGAGCAAAGCACAATAATACATATAAATATACTCATTACAAGTCCCTCTTAAAACTTCACTAAAACCTAACTGCAGTTGCCAACCTGCCTGCCAACTGTGGTAACTACTGGCAAAACCTCCCCTTATGGAAAAGTCTTATGTCCACTAGTGGACAGGTAAAGACTGACATAATAATAATAATTGTAAGTATACATTTATTATATTAAATTAATTTTAGTTTGAAAATATAATTTAATAATTATTATTTTATAGCATAGCAATTTATTCGTTCTACAGTGCTCAAGTAGGGTTTCGAGTTTAATGCGCATACTCGTAAGTGCGTTTGCCATTAGTTGATTTGGCAACTTGGCGTTTCAGCGAATTTCGCAATTTACATACGAAATAAATTCCAGCTATACCGAAAGCTTCGTTTTGCCAATTTTCCACAATAATAATAATGGTGATGTATGGGATCCAGTTATTTGAGAAAGTTGGGCAACTCAACAGTAGGTGTATGGGAGGGAATGGATTGTTAGTAGCGCGAACTGCCATTGCTAGCAATATACCTTAACAGGTAGACTACCACATGGTACGCCCTGGAAACAATGGTGCTGAATTCCAGATGTATTCATTACGATGGACTAACTAACCTGTCTTTTCATCCTCACCTATCATCCCTCACTAGTGCCCCGCCAGCGTATACCGTTAGCGCAGGCGGGGTTGCCATTCCATTATCGTCCATTAAAAAAAAACAGTAGTTTTGTTCAGTTGACTAATATTTGATTTATTTATCTATTTTTGTTTTTTAAATAACTATTTTTCCCAGCTTTGCCCGAGTGCGTTTCAGATACACTTGTTTACAAGCTGTTTTTAATCGTAATTTTTTTTTCAGTAAATATCCCAGTCACGCAGATGAAGTCGCGAGTAAAAACTAGTAATATTATAAATTTAAAATTATGTTTTTGTTACCTTTAAACATACTGACGGCTCTACCAATCGTTATGTAATATAGTATGCACTCTCTAGTTTATACTCTTCGCCGTCCCATATAATACAAGCATCCGACATAGGT